AGTAGCAGTAGCAGTAGCAGTAGCAGTAGTAGTAGTAGTAGTAGTAGTAGTAGTAGTAGTAGCAGTGGTCGTAGCAGTAGCAGCAGCAGCAGCAGCAGCAGCAGCAGCAGTAGTAGCAGTAGCAGTAGCCGTAGCCGTAGCCGTAGCCGTAGCCGTAGCCGTAGCAGTAGCAGTAGCAGTAGCAGTAGCAGTAGCAGTAGCAGTAGCAGTAGCAGCAAGTAGCAGAAGCACAAGCAGAAGCAGTCGCAGTCGCAGTCGTCGTCGTCGTCGTCGTCGTCGTAGTAGTAGTAGTAGTAGTAGTAGTAGTAGCAGTAGCAGCAATAGGAGTAGTCGTTGTCGTCGGGTAGTAGTAGGAGGAGGCAGTAAGTAATAGCTAGCAAGTTAAGTAATTACTGATGTTTAGTGTTGTCGTTGTTGTTGTTGTCGCCGCGCTGCTGCAACTGCTGCTGCTTGTGCCAACAATCCTCGTGCTGATGCTCATCCTCTGCCTCCCCCTCAACCTCATCACCAGCTCTACTACCACTACTTTCACTATCAACCACCTTCACCCTCACCAGCATCCTCACCATGATCTTTAGCTGGTCTTTCCTAACTTATGAGCCTTGAGACCCTGATCCCCATGACAAGGCCTCAATTACCAAGTTTCCCACTGGAAGAACCACTGCCTTGGCTTGACAGCTCCTTGGAAGACCCCAGGTTCAGGAGCTAAGGAGTAGCTGAACGCTCCATTACCATTCAAAAATACTTTGTTGTGTTGTTATGCTTTTTTTTGGGTCAGTCGTCGTCGTCGTCGTGTTGCTGTGTTGTTGCCGCTTGTTCGTCGGCGTCTTTGTTGGCGTGTAGGGGTTGTGGAGTTGGCGTTCGTTCGTCGTCGTTTTTGTTGCTCGTGTAGGTGTTATGGTGTTGGCTGTTGTGTCGTTTGGTCGTCGTCGTCGTCGTTCTTGTGTTTCTGATGTTGTTGCCGTTCGTCGGTGTCACCGGTGTGTCGTTGTTGTTGGTGTTGTTGATGTTGGTGTTGCTGTTGCTACTGTTGTTGCTACACGTCTGCAAGGGAGTGCGCCGTTGTGGACTTGAGAACCGATGCCATCCAGTGGTCAGGACGGAACACATATACTTCTGGTAAGTCCGGTGGTTGGTGTGTGTGTGTGTGTGTTTGTGTGTGTGTGCAACTCCCTTCTAAGGATATAAAGAAAGCAGGGGGCCCAGGGGCAAACTGGATGGCCTGGGCCAATGAAGACACACCCCATCCAGTTTAGCCGTGCACACATACCTGCGATGTAACAATCCAGCACAAACAGCATCCACCTAAGTAAGGATGACTGGTCTTCAAGTGTGTGTGTGTGTGTGCGCTAGTGTATGCGCGTAAGCGTCCTCCTGCATGCAGATTTAACAAATCATGTCCCGGTAGCTTCCAAACTCAATTTGAGGTTGGTCTAGGGCTCGGGGCCTGGGGCACCAAAACTCCCAAACCCTTTTGGAGAGGACGCGAAGGGCCTGCAGCCCCGAGGCTGATGAAGCTCAGCAGAAGTGCCAGGTACCCCATGACCCCGGCCTTCTCCAGGGAGCAGGCTTGAAAAAGGTTCCACAAGGTTTAAGATTGGGCGGGTTAGATGAAAGTTTTGAGTCTTGAGAGTCTGGGGTCACCGGTTCAGGTGGGGTGGGCTTCGAGGATTTCTGAGGATGTGGACTGGCCCAGGCATTTAAACTTTAAACCTCGAAACCTCGACGCCGTGGCCCCCGACCGTGCATGCTGCCCATGTTCCAACAGGAAATCACATTCAGAAGCATCACCCGACTAAGGCCAGAAAATAGAACAACCTGTGTACCCTGCCTCGCCACTGCGGAAGCGGGCCGCCAAGAGGAGGAGAAACCTGCTAACGTCTGCTTCTGCTTGCTGTCGCTGCGAAGCCCTAAAGACCTCCAGGAAGTGAGAACCTAGTCTGGTTTCAACTTGCGCTTGCGCAAACTGCTTAGCTGAGTCCTTCTCCTCCGCGTCCTCCTGCTCCTACCTCTGCACCTCCTGGGCCCTGATTCGAAGAGTCACTGCAACAATGAGGGGGACGACAATAGCGACGATTTTTGCCAGTCCTATGCATGGTCCTGATCGTCATCAGCACTGTCGTTTTGTGCCATCGCTGCTATGGTCACCATCATCATCTTCCTCTGCATCATTGCCTTTCTGATCGCCAGCATCGACCAAAGAGCTGTGAACCCGGCCTGTGAATCATGGCCCCGAAGTTCTGGAACTCCATGATCCGCATGTTCACCAGGTGAAGCCACCACAAAAGGAAACTCAACCTTGGGCAAAGGACTGGAAACCCTTACGCTTTGAAGCTCTTCAACTATGAAACCCTTAAACCCTGCAAGTCCTACACCGTACCATGAACCTCACAGCCTCTCAGGGCCTTGTTATTTCAATGTTATTTCCGAAGATTCGAGTTTCCGGGTCAAGGGTTTCCAGATCACATCAGCAAGCACCCTTGGGTTCAGCTTCCTTTCTCGTGCATACGGTACGGTGCAGCACATCCAAGGCATACTTGGGGGCTAAGCATCCGGGGCGAAGGAGTGGTTGGGAATTCAGATGAGCAGTTTCACAGGGAAGGCAACAGGTCAAAAACCAAAGCCCCCCCCGAAGCGCGGACTGTCTGAGCTCCTCAGCAGGTGGCTCCAAATAGGGTTCCGCTGTATTGCTGGATAGTGGGGCTTCCTATTCTTGGATCATAGGGTAGAGCCCCACAGGATATCAATCAGTCGATCTGCTAGTTGCTGTGGAGTATCGAGGCTGCAACAAACACTGTAGACAATGCCACCATCACGGTCACTATATCAGGCTCAGGACAGCACTACTACTTCTACTTCTACTTCTACTTACTACTTCTACTTACTACTACTACTACTACTACTACTACTACTACTCCTACTCCTACTCCCACTGCTACTGCTACTGCTACTGCTACTGCTACTGCCACTGCCACTGCTGCTGCTGCTGCTGCTACTGCTACTGCTACTGCTGCTGCTAGCCCTCCGCCTCCAGGCCAGCTGTGCTTGCCCAATCCGCTAGCAAAAACTGCAAAGACCGGGGCTACCTAACTGTGACCACAGCTGAAGTTGCAAATTCCACAAGGGAAGAACATGCTAAACCAAAGGTGGTAGGAGAGTACGAAAACGCGGTAGACGTCACGCAGTTGCTACTAAGAAGGTTTCAACACCCCCCAAAACCTGAAGCAAAAAATTCCGAAAGCCGCAAAGCAGAAGCTTTCCTGGGGAGGGATTCATCAACACTCCTAAACCCGGACCTCGGCGGGAGAAAATCGCGCCTGAAGTAGTGTGAAGTATGTGCGCACCATGGTGTCGTTGCCATCCCACCGTTGAGAGAAATTAAGGACGGCCACAAAGGAATCAGGCGTTTATTCCATTTAATTAAAGCCACAATACACTTCTTTAACATTAGAAATGCCATGACGAAATCACGAAAGCAATGCATGTTCTTTGCTTTCCATCATTCCCCTTCTCTCAGGTCTTTGTAATGTAATAAACTAAACAAGAAACTTAAAAGACTAAACTAATACATTCACAAAAGACTCATAATTTATAATGAAGGGTCTGGAATGCATTTCTAAAGTTTAAATCATTCATGCGGGCTTTTATCAAGTGCGGGCTTTTATCAAAATCACAAGCTACGAACTGCCTGGTGCTCATGTTCATTGATTGATTACATTCATGCTGTCATTACGCTTTCTCTCTTCCCATTGAAATCTCTCACTTCGGTTCCTTGTCATGCTTTTATCGTCTTCTTTTGTTCCATCATTTCCCTCTCTTCACCCCGTAAAATTGGGTCTTTTCTTGGGTTCCGTCCGTGGGTAATTCCAAAGGCTTAAATTAGGCATTCATTCATATGTGGTTGAGCTAACTAAAAGAAATAAGCTCTCGTTTAATCCTTTTACAAATGCATTCAATGCTAAGTTTGGAATCGCCAGGCAAAAGTACAAAACGGGACACTGTGAGAGTGCACTTTTTGCGTCGTTTACGTGCTCCCAAACTCACAAAACACAGTTAGAAATCACAAATAACCACATCGACGGATAGTACAACCCATGCAGACGCCGAAAAGAGAAAGGCAAGAACTACGAAAAATACAGAAATACAAAAGAACTAAAAAACTAGAAGAATCAAAAACAAACCCAAAAATCAAAAATACCACAAAACCAACAAATCAAAAAACAAGCAAAAATATCAAACAAACCAAAAAATAAAAACACAAAACAACATAAAAAAAGAAGAAAAAACACTGTTTCGAGACTTTGGCGTCATCCATATATATATATATATTTCTGAGGGTTCCTAAATATTGTTCTTTTATATTTTGTTTTTGGTTTTTTTGGTTCTCCTGCCCTGTCCCTGGTCGCGTTGTTGGTTTTCCGCGCGTGGCTACCTGCGCGCAGGGAATCTGCGTGAGGTCGTCCCTTCGTGCCAATCAAGAGGACTTCAAAATTGCATGTTTCCGTGTTCTCGTCTACTTTATTACATGCTGCAATATCGGCAACACTATTCTATTGGTATAAACCCTTAGCCTTAGCTGTT